TAAGTACCTATTGTTGAAGAAAAGAAATTAAAACAAATTGAGCAATTCAGTTTTCAGTTTTTAGAAGAAAACGATAATTCACCACTTTTCATGACCTTAATGATCAATAACACTTGAAAGGCCGTACAAACAAGATTATATATGTAAAGAAAAGACTTCAATACAGTGCACTGATTCACTGAATGGACTCAGAATTAGTAAAGACACTCAAGAAATGTTCAGTTTATACATATCATTTAGTAAAGAAAAAAACTGCATGTTTGAGGTATACTATTTATTGCACTTTTCTATATTCTTATACATAGCTATTCTCTTAAAGGAGGTTTAAATAGACCAGAAATGACCATGACCATCGAGCCTTCCTAAAATATGCCTTCTATACATATACAGTATATATATATATATATATGTTGGGATGATATATCCATAAATTGGGCTTCATTATAAAAATGATACAATAAATGCAATGAGATGGTGCAATGAACTGGGCCATTTCTGATTTAGAATTAATTTAAGTACCATGTCTAAGGATTTATTATGATAAGATTTCTTACAACTTTTGACTTCAACTTTTCTATCGTCAACTTCCCTTATTTATATACGCAGCAATATACCATCATCACCTGCGTATGGACTTTATATCTCCCAGTTTATTCGACATAAGAACATGTACTACGTACGAACAATTTTTAAAATGGGCTGATTATTGAAAAATAAGTTGATAATGCAAGGATATCGACAATTTCGTTTAACGTCAACATTTCACAAATTCTATGGTCGATACAATCACCATATTTGCAAATAAAACCCGTCGTTAAGTAGATTGATTGATTGTATGTTGTTTTACGTTCCGTTCGAGAATTTTCACCATATATCGGTGAAGGACTTCAAATTTAGACCTTTACTCGGTACTCAGGTCATTGAGCAGCGAGGAATCTTTACCGTGCCAACGCTTGTCGTGACACGGGGCCTCGGTTTTCAAGTTCTCATCTGAGCGAGCGCTCTACCAACTGTATGGCATGTCAAACGTTGCAATATTCAATCTTTCCCATTTGTATTGTATCATTTTTCCATTTGTATTCTATAATTTTCCATTTGTATTGTAAAATCTTCCATTTGTATTCTATAATTTTTCATTTGCATTGTAAAATTTTTATATGTATTGTATAATTTTTATTTGTATTGTATAATTTTCTATTTGTATTGTATATTTTTTTAAAAATTTATATTGTATAATTTTCCATTTATATTGTATACTTTTCCATTTGTATTGTAAAATTATACAATACAAAATGGAAATTTATAGAATACAAATGAAAAATTACACAATACAAAAGGAAAATTATAGAATAAAAATAAAAATTATACAATAGAAATGAAAATTTATACAATTGTTACATTAAAAGTTTAGACTTTATCAAGTTAAAATTATCTATAACAGTCTAGACTGTTATAGATAAGTTTAACTTGATAAAGTCTAAACTTTTAATGTAACACAATACAAATGAAAAATTATAGAATACAAATAAAATCATATAATTCAAATGAAAAATTATAGAATACAAATGAAAAATTATAGATTACAAATGGAAAATTATAGAATACAAATAAATATTATACAATACAAATGGAAAATTATAAAATGCAAACGGAAAATTATAGAATATAAATGGAAATTTATTATACAATACAAATGGAAAAGATCGAATATTGCATCGTTTGACATGCCATACAACTGAGCTACTGTGACGGTGTTGTTAAGGCAAATGTTGACTGACGCCTTTCATACAAATTGTTAGTTAGGTCATTATTTTCACACTGAATTGTCTATGGATTTTTTCGTTTACCCGGTCTTGACGAGGAGCAAAAGGCGGCTGTGTCCTGTCGACAGGGGATGCTTATGTCCCCGGGGCATCTGATCCCATCTCTGTTTTCAAAGATCCGTGTTTGTTCTGCTCATAATTTGTATGTTTAAATGGACTTTAGAGAATGATGACTTTTCTTTATCTTCGCATTCATTTTTTTTCTTTGTGGATAAAATGGCTTTTCAGAGTATAGTTGGAGAGATGGTGAGAATGGGGTCTGGCGTAGAGGTGAAGCATCGACCAGTCACACGAGCGTGATCTCTCTGTAGTGATCAAGTAAACGGTGTAATCTGTAGTCAAAATTAGAATGAAAACAATGGCTTAACAATTATTATAGGACTATAGAAATGCAGATCATATAAAGATACACAGTTTTGTCTATCGATTCTATGATTTCGATGAAGCTAAAAAACAGAACAAAAACAAACAAAACAAAAAAAAAAAAAAAAAAAAAAAAAACAAAGTCCTTGAAAACATACTTCGTTTACTTCAGACTCCAATTTCTGATACAGTTATTGGATTATTTAAATGAAATGAAATTAAATTTTGATTTTCATCCTACAAAAAGATCATGTTTATATATCTTTTTTTTTCTTAGTTTTAATGAACAATCTTGCCGTAAACTAAGATCTTTTAAAATGTCAAAAATATTACTTGTCCTTGTATTCTTAAAAATGTTATTTGAAGTGTATCTCAACCTGTTTGCTACTAAAAGATCAATCATGGTTACCAATTTTTAGTTTTAATGAGCGATGTTGAGGTGGTTATCCAAAATCAAATACGTATAGTAATATTCTTTTAAAAACTTGTCCTTAAGCCTATTCGCTTCAAATGAAGTATTGTAACTTTTATTGATAATTTAGACTGTAAAGTTAAAAATATAATGCACCTATCGATTCACGTCTAAAGCGGAAGAGCTATACAGTCTCATCAGAGTCGACTGGTTTCAAATCAAGAAACCTACTTTTCTGGAGTTCGAAGTTACAAGATCCGGAACTGAAAACTCAGAAATTGAGGCGCTTTCCAATAAGAGGATTAATTGTTTTGCTTGAGTTTAATAAATATGATAACTGCCGAAGGAAATGTCGATTATTTGCAATAAAGTTGCATCCGTTGATCATTGCTGATAGGGAGATTTAAAAATAAGAAAGTAACATTTCCTGTCAGATGAAAGGATCCTGAACATTTGAAGGGAAATGGGATTCGTGTGCTTTAGGAAGATTCGGGTCAAATGTTATCGTCCCCATTGCAAGTATGCAACAACGAATATGGTCGAACCAATTATTCTTTTTAGGATTTTCTTGTTCAAACAAAATTATGTACATGTATAATTTTCAAGTTGTTTTGGCTTTTTTTCTTCGGGGGGGGGGGGGGGTATGAATAGAAGAAAGCCAAAGCTGGGCTTGCTGACAAGAAGTCAACAAAGGTCTCCGAGTTTACGGAAATATGATAAAAAAAAATAGATTTATTTGCCATACTTAAAAGTTGCGTCGTTTAACTTCAAGATGGATTGTAACAGATTTAAAATATAGAAAGAATGCTTTTCTCTCAAATGAAAGATATTGAAAATGTGAAGTGAAATAGGATTTATGTCCCTTTTATAATTTGCGCTTTAAGAGGAGTGGTGTCAAATGCTATCATCACTATGGATAGAAGTATGGAACACGACTATGCATGGTTGGGAAAATTATTCTCCCATCCTTTTTTGTAATTTTCTTGTTTAAGGTCTGAGGACATGTTGCTCGAATATCTGTTTAGTATCTCTTCATACTTTACGACAAAATAATCATAATTATCATTATCTTGGGATTTTTAAACTGTTTCTAAAGTAGATAAAGACACCAAAAAAAAACCCAAAAAACAAAAACAAAAAAAAAAAACAAACAAAAAAAACAAAAAAAAACCCAAAACACGTGATATTGGCAATGCTAGTGATTTCCAATAGGGTCATTTAGTAAATAACACCCTCTGAAATCTTGCACAAATTTCTGGTAAGGTACCTTAATTTTTTGTGAGGAAACTTGTTCAAGTAGCAATACTTTAATAACAAATTCTTGGTTTATGAATTGAAGAACAAAAGTCAAAGCTGGGTTTGCTTGCAAGAAGTCGCCGAAGAAAGAACCAACCATGAAGATCAAAATCAAACGTAGATTAGGTAAACCCCACGAAGAACAGTTTACCTCTTAGTATTAGTTCTGCAAGCTCAAAAGTTCATGCTAACGGTCTCGAAAGTGATGTAGCATACAGGAAACAGACAGGTGTGTGTATTCCAAGCAGAAAACACGGAATGACTAGGCCTGTTGTTGAAAGTGATGCTGTAATGATTAAAGAAAAGGGGTACGACGAGAGAGCGACTTCGATTGGTGCAGGTGACCAACGTCAAGGCTTTCTCTCATTGTTTTGACATTTATTCCAGTCTTAAAGAAGTCTTAAAATGACTATGTATACACTTCTTTAGGAAAGCGAACAGTTTATAGTGATTTACATGTATATTGTCTACTTTGTGCATGTATTCTACAGAGTGGAAACGCCATTGTAAATTTGTATTTCAATTAGATTTGCCTTGACCACGTTTCCGTCATTATATTGATGTAAGTCTTAATTTTCTAGAAGTCAAAGCAAAGTATATTTTATAAACACTGTACACTAGTAGCTGGACGTTCGTCTTACATAAGGATACAGCTAAAGTAGGTCACAGCATCAGATTAGTGGTTTACTTGTTTTGTGCTCCATGGTCGACAACGTTCAGGGACATCAAGAATGATCAGAAACTAAATGGCCTTGTTACATATGCAAGGACAAGTGTATAAATATTGCATGCTTTAAAAGGGATTTGGTGGACTGTAATCCATTTCAAAACACAAGACTCCAGTGCTTTATATTATAAAGCTATGTAATGTACATGCATGTACTCTCAGCATGTAAATATAATAATATCATCTGCTCAAATTAGACAAAAATGTTTTTTTTTTATGTTTTAAACACAAAGTGATTAAGTTCAATATATTGTTCAATACTAATTTTGCAAGAATAAGTATATCATACCTTGCTGGCCTCAGACACCGAGATCAAATCTGACATGGCTCATGATGCAAGGGGAGCAGCATATTGTTGAGATGTTGACAACACAAAACACAAAGTTTCATAAATTTAATTTCACAGTGCAAAACATAAAACAGACGAAAATAAAAAAAAAAGAGTCCCATTATTCCAGCCATATCTGTAACATTAAAACACTCAACACTTAAAATTTGTAAAATGACAACAATTAACTACACTGGCTCACCAGAATCAAAGATAATGTGTCTTATCCTGTGTTTACGCATGTTGATCTTTTTAAGTACCAGCTAACCGATACCTAATATTGTTTAAGACAAGAAAACGGAACAAAATCAATTCAAACTTAAGTAAAACAAAATATAAAAGAAAAAAAATCATATCTCAGGACCTTCAGTTAGCACTGAATGATCCAGATCACCTAAATAGCCATAAAAACAAGATCTGTGTATATAAAAAGAAAACTTCAATTCAATGCCTATATACTCTCAATGAATGGCTGAACTATTAAAGGCACTCAATAAATATCCAGTTTACCACTTTCAAAACTGAGAATACTTCATCAAGATCCGACATTTTATCTTGAAATAAATAACACATTAAACTTGATTCACACTTACCCTACATATATTGTATACCATTAAAATATAACTACTATATATATATATATATATATATATATACAGTGTATACACACACAGTGGCATTACATATATACATAAATTTGGTTTCAGTATAAAAACAATAATTGCAATGAGATACTGCAATGTACTTGGCCATTTCTGATGCAGAAATAATTTAATTTAGAATCCTGCTCAAGAGTTGATAATGATATGATAAATCTTCATGGATAAAATGACTCTTCGGTTTGTTCCCAGCCATTTGATGACCTGCTTTGGTAATATTGAGGAAAATCTGCTAGAGTATACAAGTCATCAATCTTTCTTGTTTGGTAACAGATGTATGGAATTAGGGTCGCTGAAATGACCATTACGGCCAAGAACATCCACTGGACGTACAGCAAAATGATATTTGTTCCCCTCTTGAAACTGTGTCAAAGTACATGCCATTGGTAAGGGCAATGCTTTAACATCTCCCACCTATAACATTAAAAAAAAAAAATTGATGATATTTTTAAATTCTTCAATTCATCGAATAATAAAGATTCAGAACATGTATAGTAATTAAACAACCATCACAGAATACTGACCTTTTTCCACAGAGCTGTGCTTGGTGGCGTATTACCCTCCTGATACGCGAACAGCTGATACGATGCTATGTCGGCATGAGGTGTCTCATTTAAGGTCATATTCCATGACAGCACTATACCTACAGCAAGATATCAATCACTTTGAAAGAAGAAGTCTAGGTGTGACAACTCCCATTTCTTTCATTTATATAACAATACAAAATAAGAACATTACTGTTATTCATTTATTGTTTCATACATTTTTGACAGTTTCTTTGGGTATTAAATGAACTTAATCTTATGAAGGGTGTTTACTTATATGAATTATACTTTGAAACTTTTACAGAATTTATCTACCCTATATAATGCTGCTTGCATACTATTTCAATTCATAGACTTCACATCATTAATATAATAATATAGGTGTGTACATGTATTTTGCTATAGAACATCAGTGCACTATTGTGGCTCTGAACTCTTTGACATACATTGAAACTAATGACATAACAATTTGAACCAAGAAGACCTTTGTTCTACGAAAAAGATCTAATTCTTTGTAAGACTTTAGAACCATATAACTCCCACTTACCCTGGCTGACCCTGGAGATCTTCAGACTGGGTTTTGGAGGTAATGGTTTCTGACCTGAAGTCACCACTGATGTAACGGGAGGTAACGGTGCTGGGTGTTGAGCAGAAAGAGGAGGGGGTGCCACGGTGCTAAGAGATGTGTTTGCCATCCTCTGAAATGAAATTTTCCAGAAGATCGATATCATCTCCAAATTATAGCTATGATTTTCCCATTAATTTACCTCAATATAAAAGGCAATGTTAAACAGAAACCTACATTTGTACTTTGAGCTCCATACTGTAAAGGTGGAGGTGGTCTTTGTTGAACTGGAGCTGCCACAGATGCTGATTGTTTGGAGCTAGGAGGAGTTGTGGTGGCTTGACCTGGTCTAAGCTGAGGCATTGCTGTAATAGCTGACGATGTAGCAGCAACCATGGATGTTCCTGCTACAGCAGGTCTCATTCCTGGACTGGGAATAGGGGTGGCAAGTGTGAGAATACTGCCCTGAGGTAATGCTTTGCTGGTTGAGCTGAAGACAAACTGATATGCTGGTTGTTGTTGTCCATTTCTTATAATTGAAGAACCTGCAGGATTTGACAGGATCAGACCCTGTGGCAATCCTGTTCCTGTTGGAACAAGAACTTGACTTTGGGACATGGATATTGCAACTCCCCTGTTAGCCAGGTTTCTGTTGGCCTCTTCTTCCATGGTGAGATCAATTACTTTAACAGACTTCGGCTGCACTTGTTGATTCAGTTGAGCTTGTTGCTGACTGGTAAGAGTTGGTTGGTTCACAACTGGTGCTGAGACAACTGTAACATTTGGCTTTGTATTGGGTAATGGGGCTGGTGTTGGAACTACGATATATGATGTCATCTGATTGGGCGCAATAGTTGGAGAGAGTAAGGTGGTTGACTGTACTCCTGGGGTAACAGCTCGAACAGGTCTAACTCGAGAATTACTGATAGGCTGTGAAACCAATCCACGACTGCTATCCAAAATATTTTTAACAGTCTGGTTTCCTGGACTTTGTTGGAGTGAACCCCGAGTGTTATCCAAGATTGTCTTAACTGTCTGGTTGGATGGAAATGGTCCTTTATTTCCATCTGCTGTTGAAGGAAGTGCCACGGTGGGCGTGGACTGACTACTGAGTGTTGTCTATGAAAATAATGTGAAATACATGTAACTCAAATAAGTTATGGATCAAAGCATATACACATATATTCAATTAAAATCACATTATCTTACCTGCATTTGTGTTGGGGTCTGGCTTTTGAGCACTGGAATGTTTGTAACTGGATTGAGAGTGGACTTAGGTGGAGCCAGCTGAGGGGAGGATGGTGTAAACTTGGAGATGGTGAGAGTGGGGCCTGGCTTTGAGGTAGAGGTGGGTGGAGTTGTACAATTTGTTGTGGCAGTTTTAGTGACAGGTTTGGAAGATGGAGACTTCACTGGAGTGGTCTGTTGTGTTTGTTGTATTTGAACTATAGCTGCTGCCTACAATATACAAAATGTATCAGGTTAGCAGTCGTCTAGTCATTGGATCACTTAGTACAACAATTTTCTTTTAATATATAAACTCGAGAATGCACAAGACAAATGTGGTAAAAAAAATCAAACAAAATTGGGTGAGGGGAATGCATCTACTTTGGGCTACATGAATTATCTATGAAACTTACTAAAGAAAAGAGATGTAACTCTTCTTATTATAGTAAATTTGGTTAAAATCTTGGTGCATTTTCTACCTTGGAGATACAGGAAGTGAATTAAACTGTGTATAATGCCACCAGCATGGTTTTACCAGTAAATGGTACCTTTCCCCTTTGGAAAAAAATATCAGAATTCCCCTTCTAGTTACAGCAAATTTCCTGATTATACATCCATGCACCATTTAAATATGTTTTTATTTATGATAGTTCTAGAAATAACCCCCAAGATTAGCTCTCCGAATGCAGATTTTAACCACATTTATTTGAAAATGTCTAGGCGGGACATGCAGCTGGACTCCATTGTACATGTATATTCACACCTAATGTCGAGCAATTGTTCTCATTTTCTCTCTTTATGTGAAAAGGGTAGTCAAATATAATATCAATTTAAGTATTACTGAACTGCTGTAACTTTAATACTAGTCTATGGTATTTGTAGACAAAATAAATTTTATACCTCGTATTTAAATAGAATGGACCTAATGTAAGATGTTTCATGAAACTTATTTAGAGTGTTTATTCATTTGATTCACATCTTATCTGAAGAATGACAAAATTGAAAGTATAAATAGTTATTTAATAATCATTTTCCAATAAATATAAATTCTAGGAAGCACCTTTAAGGACATAAATCACACTCACCTTCTGTGAATCAACCTGAACTCCCACACTCTTTGTAGTGATTTGCTAAAACATAAAAAAAAAATATTAAATGAAGACAATATTTTTTTTTCAAATGTAAAGTCCTAAATTCTTGGTCTAAAATCTTACTTACTCTTAGAGCTGCAGTTTTTGCTTTACGCTTTTCGTGTTTCTGCTGGAGTACCGTAACTTCTAGAATTTGCTTCTCAAGGTCTTTGACTCTTTGCTTCCACATATCATTAGAAGCTTGTAACTCCTCTACTTTTTGCTGAAGTTCTGCTACCAATCCTTCTTTTTGGTTTTTAAGGTGGTTTAGTACTTTTGTTTTAACCATCTTCTCTAGTACCTGTTGATTTAATATAACACATGAATAAATTCTATAGATGGGTTAATAGATTGAGATCAGACAAATAAAAGGATTTCCAATATTTCCTAGCCAGTGCTAAAAATGTGTTATGCTAATGTAGATTGCTATAGTGTATACATACCTTTTCTGAGAGTCTAACAGGTGGTTTCTTCTTCTTTCTATGAAGCTCTTCATCTTCATCCTCGGTATCCTCTGTAGGAGTTGGGGTTGATTCGTTTGCTGTATCAGTGTCAGACATTTCCTCATCTTTCAGACTTTCAGGGGCTATCCCAATCTGAGATCCCAGCTTCCCGATCACCATATCCAGTCTGGAACGTTTGGGTTCGTAGGGGAGTGCATCACTGAAGTCTGCTGGTCTCTTTTTATCATTAACCTCTTTCTCCTCGTGGACATCCTTAGAATCTAAATTGTTGCTGTCTTCAGATGACTTGCTGTCCTCACTAGTGGTAGTATTTTCACTGACTTCACTTTTTTGTTTCTTTTCGGAACTACTACTTTCACTTTCACTTGCACTCTCTTCCTCATCTTCCTCCTCAACTTCCATTTTTTCAGATGCATCTTCAACATCCTTTCCATTCTCACTGACTAAATTTTTATCACAGTTCACAGAGTCCTGAGAATCTTTACTGATAGATTCCTGAGACTGATTACTCTTGACAGATACCCCTGACTGTTGAGTGTCTTCATCTGAAGCCAAAAGTTTATCTTCCTCCTCTGGTTTCATATCATTCTCATTCCTAGCTTCCTCATTAAGTTTCTTCTTTTCTTCATCCTCTGAATCAGAGGTAATTTCTAACAAATCATTTTCAGACTTCTTTTCACTTGCATCTACTTTGAGATCATTTGAATGTATTGGAAAATCACTTTTAGTTTCTTTTTCTTCTATACTGTCATCAAGTTCTATTACCTCATCACATTTAGCTTTTATTTCTGCTTCCACATTTACTAATGAATTATCTACAATTGAGTAAATACATCATCATACATGCGAAAAGTTTATACACAAGATCTGTGAGCTACCATGATTGTTCACTGGCATATTTTAAGACTTTTTCTGACAATGGAAATTGAAATGAAATTAGTATACAATTATAGCAAGTGATCAATAATTTTATCACACCATTATCACAACTCAAAATGACAAAAAAGTTGATATTCTGTTATTTGTTGGTGCAAAGAAATCATGGATTGACTGATCGGAATCCATATCAATATTCAACAATTGCTTTATTACTTTTATCACATTAAACCTTAATTACTGATAAATGTTTATTTCATTTTAAATGTGAATTCGACAAAGCAATATTGGCAGTAAAATTGTGTGTAACTTTAAAAAAAAACAACATGTATAAATTTATTGCTAGCGCTCTCGAGCGCTATCAACTACATTAGTCTATATTTCTGAAATACGCATGCTCGATTTCACGGTCGGGGATTCTGGGAAAACTACTGTAGATAGACTGTACGATAAGAATTTTGTTTTGTCATACAAAAATAGAAATGATCCGAATTTACACTGGCCTATCCTGTCTGATATGCGCGAAATACATTTCGCAGGTTAGAGAGAGTCAATACCAGTCTAGATCCGGATTCTGATTCTTTTTTTGATTTATTGTCTAACCTACACATAAAAGTACAGGAAAAAATTTGGCCATATAATGCCAAGATTCTAGACATCTAGCTTTCCTTACAGTTTTACAACTTTAGTGGATAATTCCGGCAAGCTCGGAAAAAACAACAACAACAACCACAACAATCTTTTTCAGAGTATGTCGGAAAGACTTATTTAGTGTTTATCATCTGAAAATACATATGATCTGAAGTTTCGTGTTTTGTTGTCTAACCTGCACGTAAATGAACAAAAAGTAACAGTAACTCGGGTCTTATAAAACCAAGACTGTTATTTCTAAAGTTGTAATGAATACATAGCTTTTCTAATCTACCTTCATGGATCTTTCCGGCAATCTCGGATATGTTTTCCGAGCTTGCCGGAAAGGCCCAAAGGTGCTCATTGGTTCTACCGACCTTTTATTTTTCACCTCGAAATTGAAATTACAGTAAAATGCAGAATGCTTAAAGCACAGTTAGGAGTTATGCCATTGCCGACGTGAAGCACGCTCTTAGATTCACCATTCTGAATTGTGACCCCCCCCCCAACTCAACCCCCAGTGCACCAATCTGCCTTCCTATTAATAATTAATCGATTCAGCAAATTTAACAAATGGTTCAGATATCTTCTTCTGTATTTTATTATGCTATAGCGCTAGCTCACCAATCTTTTTAAAAGATAAGCTTGTTAATATAAAGTACAGTCAAATCTCATCTTGAACTTGAGGGATGGTGGAAAAAAATTTGAGATATCCAAGGATTCAAGATATCAAGGTTAAAAAACATCATAAAGAAAATGTGATAGGGACACCCGGGGCCAACTTGTTTTGACATATCCATGCAGGCCTTTCAAAACCTGCAGGTACCTGGTATTTTTACCTAGCTAAAATAATGTTTGTACCAACCAAAATATTTGATGGAGAAAATTTTGATAACATATGATATTTAATTAAAATCGCTTCCAAAAGGTACCTACCATCATTGTAAAAGTACCGACATTTTCTAATCTTTTTGAAAGCCCTGTCCATACTATACAAGATTTAGTGTTTATGATATCAAAGTTCAACTGTATATGTATTTGAAATTTTTTTTTTTGGTAGTTTAATTTTAAACTTTCATGGTGATTGCTAAAATATTATAAACTTAAAACATATACCATGCTTACTCAGGCACAGTACAGTCTCAGGTTTTTCTACATTTGGAAATAGTCATATCTTGTTAACCCTAATTTGATGTGACTGTTAAAAACTTCTGAATCAAGATATCTGAGGGTATTGAGGTTAGATACATAAAGGAGAAGTGGTTGGGACTTCCAACTCACTTCATCATGTTAGAAATATCAGTGTTCAAGATAACAAATTTCAATTGTATTTATGTAATAACATTTCATATCCTGCAATACATGTACAATGTTTTTTAACCAAGAGTCATTTTCCTTTGTAATATTCTGTCCTAATTATGCATTAACTCAAACTGTCAAAGTTTGATGAACCTTTATTTTATTTTAGAGTATGGATGTAATGATTCAAAAGTATATTTTTTTAAAAAAGTTCTATGTGTGTGAGAAATGTCAATCAAGACTCACTAGCAACTCCAGCTTGCAGATATTTATGGTCATGAAACAGCTAAAGGCTTTGAACAGTTTAAGAAAATCAGTGTTTTTTCACCCTTATTTCAATTAAGCAACCTTTTACATCCATTTTGGAAAGAATTTTACATTGTGATGCCAATCTGTATGATAATTGGGGATATTCAGTTATTTTGGGAAAAATTATCACATTTCTAAGGGAAACTGCCTCTATTTGCTGAAATTTTGGTTCATGAAAACATCATAACTAGAAACTTTGATCAATAATATTTTTTGCTGCAGAATGGTTTTCAACTGGCAATTTGTGAATAGATAATGTTATATATGATACTTGGTTTACAGTATGCCTGATCAAACATCTGCATTAGGCCAAATAAAAAAATATGCGTGGTTCCAGTTACCCGACCTTCCCTATTTTATACCCCCGACCCTAAACTTTTTTTTGGCAATTTTCATATTTTTTCCGGAATTTTCCCCAATTTCCATCAATGGCTCTGGTTTAAGTTTTAGTTTCAGCAATGACGGCCTTCTTGCAAAACATAGTGCAAGTGTTTAATAGTATTAAGTCCAAAGCAAGCTAGCATGTAGGTGTCCCCTACCAATATTGACTAGTATATTATCACATCGCATCTAAATGCCATTTGCAAAGCAGTGATAGGTATTATTTAGAAAAATTGAGAAAAACATTTTGTTAAAAAAAAAAAAAAAAAAAAAATTCCCTACCTACCTACCCTAATTTTTTTGGAAGTGTAACCGGAACCACACATATTTTTTTGTTTGGCCTTAGCAGCATAGTAACCATGGTTGCGAGGGGTTAGAAAAACATTGAAAAACCTAATTTTATTTTTAATAAAGCAAATAACTATGGTCTCACTCCCATGCAAAATAAACTGATTTGCTAACACTCATATTTCAAAATCAGACCCACAGATCACAGTGCTTACATAAAATATTATGTTTCAAATTTGACCTATTTTGGCTGATAAAATTGCTAGTTAAGGGCACACAGCATAACCATTTAGAAAAAGAAAAGAAATAGAATTAAAGCCTTTCATTACAACATGTTACAAAGGAATATATTGTAAAATTCTGACCTTTATTGCACTCTGTCGTTTTTTCAATAGTCGTAGTAGAATTCTGCATTTCTTGCATTTTGTCAAATAAATTCCCAGCAGAAGCTTTAGACTGTCCCCCTGATACAGAGGGGGCTGAGGTGGTAGTAGGAGGAGGTGGTGCATTTATGATAATACTACTTTTTGTGTCCTTGGTATTCAATCCCGTGTATTTTGTTTTAGCGAGTAGATTTCCAAGTGTTGGAGTATTTTCAGACATTTTGTTCATGATGTCCCTGAATGAACTTCTCATTTTATCATTAATCACAAAAGACCTATCATCCAGCAGGTTAATCGGAGTTCCATCAAAAGGTGGTCCATTTTTCCTGTTAAAAATGCCCATGTCACTGGTGTAATCTTCCTTTCGTGTTGGAGGAGACTCTTTAATCACATTTTGGTCATTGTGAACATTATTTTGGCCATTCATTTGTGTTTTTTCTATTGCACATTGTCCATTGAGAGAATTCATGTTCAAGTATGGTGTATCACAACCTTCAGAAGTGGTGCTGCTATTCATCCTTGTCCTTAGTCAGCTGGATATGTAGAAGCTTCTACAACAAAATATATGTTTTTAAAGTTTGACACAAAGGTTAACACAGCAAAACATTTTTTAGTAGGTTAAAAAAATTATAGGTTATTAAGTGATAAAAAATGTAAATGTGCCTTTCATATAGTTACATGTAGCCCCCCCCCCCCCCCCCCCCAGCAAAAAATCCTGTCTAGAAGAGATACATGTATTGATTTTAAACACATTGAAATTCTCCCCCAAAATGATGGAAATTTACTATTGAGGACTTAAGAAACAGGTTTATATGATAAACCTAGGAAAAAGAAGTTATTTTCTGAAAATTTCATAGTAATACGTAATATTTTCATAATACAGTATTGAGTAAAGATACACTTCTTCCCCAAAATTTTCCAGGCTCTAATATGCTCAAAAATTACAATTAAATATACATGTATATTGTATAGGGAAAAAAGAAAAGCAATTAATTGCTAAACTTTTACAACAATAAATAAAAGGTCACTTAAAATTGCTAATCATGCAATTTTTATTCCAAATATATTATGGTTTTTGAAATAAAAATGCAAATTGTCAAAAAGATGTAAATATTTATGATATATATGCTATACACATCCCATGTCACTTTTTGACCCAATTAAGTGCTGTGAACCATTCAAACAATGAAAGGTAACTCAAACTGATGGAATTTCTTTCAAAACTTATTTATGTAAAATTTAATGATCTTGAGCCCAAATTAATCAAATTTTAAAATCAAGAAAGTTAAGAACTTTAAGCATGTACAATGTTTTTAAACAGTAAGAGTTATCTCTCTTTTCCATCAGCCTTATGGTCCTGAATGATCATAAACTAGTCATATTTGTTGTTTTAAAAATGTCAACAAGACCTTTTGAAATGAAAATATTATATACATACATACAGAACAGTCACTTTATATATAAACATATACAGAAAAGACTCTCCTTACTATTTTACCTGGGATCGACCGTCGTGTTTTTTGGGGGTGATCCAATGTAATCTCCTCCTTGCTTTATTTTACAAATTAGAAAACACTGAAAATCCCAGGGGGTGAGGGTACAGACCCACCTATTCCCACCCACTGGATCCATATATGAGTTCATGCTTGTACCCCTGATCCCCTTCCATGTCAGTCAATTTTACTTCCAGTATGACCACACATTCATAGTGAAAGGGAGTTACCCATTGATAATGTCATTGATTTTTTTTTTTTAAGAAAATGTTTGAAATACTTTAAAGGATATTCAATACTAAATCCTTCTTCTAGCATTTAGAATTTTATTTTTTTTTAAAAAAAAATGGAGAACCCTCTCCTCCTTAAATCAGACAGAAATATAATTTTGATATAATTTTCTCTCTCCTCCCCCCCCCCCCCCTCCCCAAGTGCCCGAGTGACAGCAGGCCATCAAAAACATTCAAAGATTAATAATTTAAAAAAAAAATAATCAAATTATGCAATTAGAAATAAAGAAAATACAAAAACTCATTTTAATGGTAGGTCTTGCATGAGGTTTATTTAAATTCAAGATTAAAACATTATATTTGAACAAATATTTATCAGCAAAATAAAAAATTTTCTAGTAAAAGTCACACCAAATATTCATGGATTTTTTTTTTATTTAAATGGAAGTGTGTTGATTAATGGGAAAAAAATAGGGGAAAAAATGAATTGTAAGGGTTGCATTTTGAATAAACCTGCCAATGAATTCCATGTTTAGTAACAGTGACACCACCATTCATGGTACATATAATTATATATATAGTCTGTTTCTTAGATTTGTGCAAATATAAAACTGTACTAGAAGTGGCAGTTTCGAAATTTTTTTCTACAGAAGAAAGAACATATTAATGACCAATGGAGCTAAAAATTAATAATTAAATTGGGTGGGGTGTGGGTGGGGTTACCTTTCTTCATGCATCCCTGTTTTGAATTAATTTTCTTTTTTCCCCCTCCAAATATCATCTTTAATGTATTTTTCTCCCCATCCCTTACTCCCACTCCCCCTTCAAATTACACTCTGCTCAAGTATCCATGCCCTTTTTCATTGGTTTTTAATTTAAATGCAGAAAAAATTAGTTGCCTGACTGTTAAAAAAAAAAAGATACATAAATGGTTGTCTTTGCTATTGTACATTTGGGCCCCACTTGAGTCCTTGGAACTACAGACTTCCAGTCGAAACTCAAGGGATATGCAACATCAGTGATCGACAGTCACATATATACCGAGTTAAAACAGAGCTGGTATATTCTCTCATGACAAACTTAAAGGCCAGCAATTGGGTATAAAAGCAACCAATCGGTGAAAATGGTGGAAGTTATGAATTTTCTGGTCACATTCAGATTGCAGCACTTATTTTGCAGAAATCAAGATTCAGCTATTTTATTATCATTTCAAAATTGTTATGCCAGTCCCTCTCATCACTGGGCATTTATTTGCCAGATTTATTTTACATATAAATACTTTTTAAATTTTAATTTTGGCTTCAAAAAATTGAAGCAGGGCTGATTTTGTATTTCAAACTAGAGATTGGCAGTTTGTGGGCGTGATTTCTATTTGTTATTGTTTACACCGGATGTTGACTCACTCACATTGCAAAGGCATGTCTGTGTAGTGATGGCGCCAAAATGAACCAATAATGTGTATGGGTACATGTTATTCTCTGTTAAAAGGAATAAAATATTTAGATTTACTCACATTTATTAGTAAATCCAATGTATTTCAATTTGTTCCATTTAAAATGAATGGTGAATATGAAAAGTAATTCCCGCAATCACAATACTGCCCAGTCTGAGTGAGAGAAAACTCAGTTTAGGTAACCATCCCCAGTGTTAGTCTTGAAATAACTCATCCCTCTGATCCAAAACAAATATTTTCACTCCAAAGTGTTCATTACATTATGTTAAAACTGAAAGCTCAGTAATATTACATGTATAATGTCTCCTGAATAATCCTTCGATACACATGTTGTTCTTCAGTTTCATTGCACTCTGAGTCTGACCTGCTCAGCATTGAAAGGTACAGAAAGGATCATCTTAATAAATATTGAATTAGTTAACCAAGGCATAACTATTGAATTTATATAAAAACTATAATTACAAACTTTCAAATATAATGATGAATACAATAAATTCTATTGTTTATATAGCGAGTTATTGTTAACGTGATTATAAAGACCCTTTCTGTGCCTCGCAGGCAGAGCACATTGGTAGAAAAATGCGGGAAAACATCCCCGAATCATCACCTTGAACTTCTGAATCAGTAATATTACTCCCACAGGTGGCCCATGTATGGAATGTTGTCAGGATTGGGAAACCAGCCCCTCACACATTTTATTACACAATCTGGCATTATGTCTCTACGATGCCACACTAAATTCCTGTATCTTTGGTCTTGTTCTAATGCCCTTCTTTTTTTCTCAACATATCTAGGGTGATTCCAGATATCTCTATGATACATCATAGTCCAAAATCTTTTGTACATTTCTTTGCGTAAATTTCTGTTTCTTCTATGTTTTGGGTGAGGGTCAGTTTCCCACCACATCTGCCTATTTACTTCATCAGTGATACATGGTCTACAGAAACAATATATACACTCTGAACTATTAGGATCCTGTTGAATTCTGAAAGGCTCATTTACGAACTCATTGTTGTCATTTATTTCATGTTCTGATGAATCGGTCTGAGTCTCGACATTCACTAAAGAGTTACTATCTGAAATTACTGCTGAATCAAAATCCCAATCAAAGTGATGGAAAACACCTCTTATATTTTCTAACTGATCATCACTCAATTCCATTAAAACCTGCCGCTTGCTTGCCATTTTTAGATTTCAGATACTGTCAAAGTTTTCGCGCGTAAATGTCAAGTTACTCTGATTTAATGCCCATTAGCAACTTTAGCCAGTGCAGATGCCAAACAATGATATGGGAGGGGGACATAGAGGAAAGATATACTATAATAGTAATCAATAAATTAGTAAATAAATATTACATGTAAAATGTCATTTTAAAAATTATTTGAAAGATGATTGTTTTGGATTTCTTTTTTTATGAAATTCCCCTGTTTCCCCAGTTCTAAACCATTTCATGGGGGACAAATATCACTGTTTTTTATTTTAATAAAATTATATTACCCCAATTGTTCCTACCAAACATCGCTCCATAAAATGTCACTTGGGTTCAGAGTTCATATTGCAATCTCTTTTTTCAGCAGCAGAATGTTTCATTTTATTTGGTAGGGGGGTTGAAAACTTTTCCAAAAATTAAAGGTTACTTATTAAGAGTTTTTTAAATAAATTAATAACAAATCTTTTGACATTCATTGAACTTTATTTGCTCTGCTTTTCAATGAATTAGCATCCATAATAAAACCAGAAAAATCATAGAATTTTTTCAACTTGAAATCCCCTTGCACCAATTGAAGTTGGGCTTACTGCTAGCATTCAATGATCTCTAAAGTTTCTGAATTATTACTGATCATACAATATGGATTCTACAACCAAAAAACGTCCACCTTCATTTAAAATATCAATTCCTGGAGATGACCAACAAAAAAATGAAATACTTTCTCTTCTTCATAAAGCAAGAGATATTTTAGTGAGACAGCTGAATCATCCTGTAAATAATGCAGAGATCCTAGAAAAGGTTTTGAAAACATTCTTAGAGAAATATGACAGAGAAGATGAACAAGCAAATGTGGCTATGGAGACCTTGGACTTGAACACATACATTCAGGTACAGGAAAAGGATTCTAACCAGAAAATTTTCCTTACTGCAGAATCATCACTAAGACGTTTAGTAAAAGTGGTGGAAAATCATTCCAAATTCTGTAATGGTGATCTTTCATTAAAAAAGATTACCGAAAAGGGACATGTTGCTGCAGCAAGATTTAATTGTAGAATTCAAAAACATCATAGCCTTTTGTGGTCTTCATCTCCATACTTACCAAATAATGAATATTTGGTGAATAAAAGAGTTATTCATGGATTTGCTTGTAGTGGAATGTTGCCTGTTCATTACGTCAGATTTTCAAAGGGAGCTAAAATTGGTACCATCAACCAAAGTAATCGTGACAAATGCTTACAGAATATCTATCCATTTATTGAATCAGAATATGAAGACAGTATTAACATGGCGCTTTGGGGAGAAGTAGGATGCAGCGATGATGACGGAATTAACATCATGACAGATGCTCGGCATGGATGGCGAAAAAATGCCAAAGACTCAAGTGTTGTGGCGTTAGGAGAGAAAACACACCAAGTAATAAAGTGTGAACATGTCACCAAAGTGGACGATCCAGTATCTCAAAGACACGAGAAACTTGGAACGGAGAGAATCTACAACTATCTTGATGAGCAAGGTGTTTCAGTTGATGTTCATATTCATGATCGAAATATCTCCATCAATAAATTTGTTCGAGAATTAGGAGGAACAACGAATCAAAATGATACTTGGCATGGAGTTAAAAGTATTAAAGAGAAAATGAAAAAAATTTCAAGTGGACCAGCATATCAGAAGGGGAAAACTTGGTCTGAATATCTATATGATAAAGTTGAGCCAGTTGCCACTCACTGCCACTGGGCAATTAGAAACTGCGATCAAAATCCCCAAAAATTACAAGATCTCCTTTTGAATATCATTGAACATTATAAAGGAAATCATTCTGATTGTCATCCTACATCACGGTGCAAAACAGATCCAAATTATGAGCCATCAAGACTTGTAATATGTGATAAAGTGTCAGAAAAATTGTTACGTGGTGTAATAACTAGTTCAAATTTGTATAGATACCCACAGGATTATGTACTTGCAAAGGATACATATTATGTAGAAAGTTTCAACAATACTATGAACATGTTTCAGGACAAAAGAATTGCATTTAGTGACAAGGGATACAGAGCGCGATCAAATCTAGCAGTCTGTCATTGGAACGAAAATGTGGACAGAGAGTTTACCTCTGTATGGAATCCACCCAGAGCAAATGCTCCAAGAAGTAGAAAAGGAAAAAAGATCTACAAACCCCCTACATTCAGCTACAGAGAAAACATCTGGAAAAGACAAATATCTGCACTTTTCACTTAAAGTTGAATCATAAATGTCTTCAAATAAGTAATTTATAAAATATACAGTGAAACAGATATTAATTATAAATATTTAAAAAATCTTGTAAGATCAAGCAGTTTTTTTAATTCAGGATTATTTAGTAAATTGAGCCCTCTAAACAAAGTGATTCTTTACACTGAAAGAAGAATATCGTCTGCTAGAGTGCACGTGTAGATTGTAGCATGTGGTAATGTTTGTGTGACTGATAACAATTCTAAATTTAAACTGCAGAGGAGTGAGCCATGCCTCCTTGCCATATATGCTTAATTGCCGTCGGGGTGTAAAATTTTCTAGGTCACTACCGGCCTTTAAAGAGGAGACATTGAAAAAGAATGTAGAGGATAATAAAAAATGGAAATAAAAACTACTGGTTGAGTTTAAACTTGCTGAAAGATACATGTATTAATGCCATTTGGAAAACATTTGAAGATTATTTATCAAAGATTTTTCATCTAATGAAAGCGAGCCATCAGAGCTTGTTCACTATTTATTTATTGCTCTTCTATAAGATGCGTTATCTCCATTTTTTCATACTACATTAATTAATGGTGTGATGGTCAAACCACTAGCTAGGCCACCTTCACAAATAACTTAGTGTACGTGTTACTGTGTAATGCTTGTATTTTTTTTTTACCTCGACCAAGCCTAAGGACTTAATAAACAACTATCATGACATTGTACTGATAATGGCGGCATGGCACAGCCGACAATGGTATTCCTTTTCCCGCCTTTCTTTGGGATAAAAATGTATGGCGCCTCACTAATATTCAAGAACGTTATGTAGCATTTCGATTTGTGTTTTTTAACATCTTTACTTAAAATTTTGAATTCCTTTTGCTCTTCAATGTATTCCATCTATTCCTTTCATTTCTACCACCTTTAAAATCGATACACCTTGTGGTTGGCCCTCGCGAATGTCTGCTTCACGAAAAGAATTTCGTCATCAAACTAGTTTTCACCAGTTTTGTACAGGGAAAATCTCAAAACTCAAAAATCTACGGATTCATAGACAAACAACTATATGTCTATTTTTATGGCTATCGCTGTATTAATCATATTTTTGAAATAACCAACTTATTGAGAGTTTTAATCAAACAACTGTTCAAAGAACTCTAATTAAAGAATTTAAATTTAACATCCTGTAAGTACGGATGTATCGCCAGTGATTAAAAAACTGAAAGCCCCGATTTTAGAACTTTTTCAAATTTATTTCTGATTAAAAACTCCACTCAGATATTTTTTTATCCAAACAGTTTATTGAGATTTGTTAATTAAAACAATAATTTCTCGATTAAAAAAAAAATACTTTTAAAATTTTTCTCCCGTCTCAGTGTCTTTTCGTTTCTTTCATTCTTTTTTTTTTATCAATCTCATGTCAAACATTCTAAATTATTTTAATCTTTATGCCGCAAATGCCTTAATATTAGGCGATATGTAGACCGATGTGCCTGTTCCTTAACCTAACACAAAAATTTTAGAAGCGCAAGCGCGACATCACGTGATAATTCCGCCCAGGGTCACAAAGTGGGATAACAGTAGCGCAATGATTTTTTTTTAAAAAAAGTATACTGATCAGGAAGATCACATCCGTCTACACGACTCTACAGCTATTAATCAACCTATAATATATCTATTTTATATTTTCATTTTATTCGTAATTCATCCCATGTATTATTGTAAATGACCTACAAATTATATAGAGGACGGCAAATGAAATTAATATTCCGTTTATATAGTCATAATTGCAATGAAGTACAAAGCAACTTTTAATTTACAATCTAGAATTTTCATTAAATGGTCTCTATCATATTGGAAATTTTTTGTGTGCATTTTTAGCTTGTTCCGTTGTTAATGATGATCGATATTCATATATTGTCTATATTTTTCGATGCGACTTTAATATGTACCATATTGCTTTTTGAGATAAAAATTACGTACATCTTAAAAACATAAAGGACGAAAATTCAAATACACATTAAAATTAATTCCTATTTTTTTTCTTAATTATGTCAAATTTATATAGTTTATATATAACGTTATATATAATAGTCGTAGAAATAAAGTAAATGTAATAAATGACCTAATAAAGTCTTAAGTTCAGAACACATAAATACTCTCAATGAATCATCATTATGTCAATTCAAAACAGGGAGAAAATGCTGCCATTATAAACATTTCTGTTAAAATATAAAAATCCCCTATAAGCACCTCGCCGTTTTCAGAGTGTATCACGTGACATGTAACGACAGGGATCGACTCAGAACATCACAAAATGGTCGACAACAAAGCAACACGTTGGAATTGTGTTTATTTACCGATATCTTTGCTTCGTACAGGGATTGACCATGTATTAAAACAATTATGCAGTATTGACAAAGCTTTAGGATGAGCAATTGAAACAAACACAGGTAAGATATGCCGAAAACGTAACAAAATTCAGAATAATCCACAAACGATATTTAACAAGGGAATGTGTCATAACACAAATGCATTAAAAACTCGGAAAAAACGAGTTTCAGTCAGTTGCGTTGTGGATGTCATTAATGCGTACTTACTTTAAAATAGTCAATTTTCAATCTCTTGCATTTTCGTTTTTCAGGATTTTCGTGGTTGTCGTCGACCGACAGAATCCAAAATGGCCTCCTGACTGCTCGACGCATGCGTATAGAATAATATGCAAATGCTCAATTTATCCAATGGAAATGGAGACACTACAGGCCATATCCCCTCGCCTTATATATGTTATCCCATTTACAAACACAAACTACATTTAGTTTCCAAATACTTATCACTATGTAGTAATTCTGATCGAAATAAGATACTTTGATGAATCTATCATTTTATTAACACACTGTGTCATTCCTTATGGTATGAGTTATTCCCCCTAGCAGCCTTGAAACAACAACCCCCCCCCCCCAAAAAAAAACCATTAACAAATTATACACATATCCATCTTTAATGTCTATAAGACCTGTAACATATGCCTCTGTGAACGGGCTAGTCACAATGTACACACACATAAAAATCGAAGTACTGAATGAACCTGCATATCGGCGACGAAGGCAGGTGTAGAGGGGACCAATGTCATGCACGTGGTCTTTCAACTATTCCAGGAAGATTTTGTTATTAGGTTTCTTTCATTGTGTTTTTAAATGTAGTGACTTTCGCATGCAACCTCCGCTTTTATTGCTTATACTAAATATAACGAGGTTATTAACTTAAAGTGTCAGCTTGCGCGTGCAACATAGTGCATATCACACACATAGAAACATGTGTAATTGAATGTACATTTTAAGTATGTGTAACACATGTGCTCTTTAAAAGGGACAATTTCAAAGTATGAATTTGCTCATGTGTACAATAACCATTGAGAGTTTCCCCAAAAGAGACGAATGGAAATTTTCGAGGAACGTGTGCAAAATTATCTGGGGGCCAATAGAGGGTATCTTTTAATAATTCTTCTAGCGATGGTAAAAGGCTTATTTGAGGTGCAATTTTGAGTGGTAATGAAAATCAACATGTATAATAAAGCATAATAATTAATTAGGCATGCAAAATATGTTTTGGTATACATTATGCACAGGTAGTGCAGTGTGATTCATTATATGTACGTGACCTGAATAAAAGATGAATCTATATTTAACGGAGCCAGGCTTGCACATTTATAATATATAAGCTGTATTTAGCAAACGCGATTTAAAATATTAACCTTCTTAAAATAGAAATATATATGATTTAAGTTTATTGACACGAGACTATGTGACAATGATGTTTAATACTACAACCCATCAGGGTCTATCTCCCATTTTGGCCTCGCCATGGCGTGGAGTCGGTCACGTTGAGAAAGTACATGAATTTTCACACACACACGCACACCCTCTCTCTCACACACACACACACACACACAATATCTCTTTTTTTTATTGAAATTTTCCAATCTTTATGATTAAAATCAGCCCCTTAATTTCTTTCGTTGTCAGGAAAAGGGGGAGGGGATTTAATCAGATTTTATCATTACACGACTTATATAATTATTTAATTTGTTGTGTTGACCGTTATGATGAACTTTAAAAAGATTTTATGGAAAATGAATATTGACATAAGGAGAAAATGTCAATTTTTTTCTCAAACCCCCATTCCAAATGTAAATGAAGGAGATACCTCAATTTATGCTTTATAAATCGCCAAGTACCCCTTCCGCTTGAGTTCAGTTATTCTCTCACAGCCATTTTGAACATATTGTACATGAGAACATTTATTTTGGTCAGATCGAGGTTCAAGTACATGTAATATGCAAAATTAGAGGGGAAAATAAGAATGCAAAGCATGGATGATAGACTAATTATCTTTAAAATAAACCAACAAAATTTCTTCAACGATAAAACATCTACTTTTGCCATTAGATCCGAAAATGTACACTGTACAAATATTTGGTCTTGTTTGTGTTAAGGTAAGTATTCTTCCAAATGTGTGACAATGGTCTACATTCTAGGATATAATGAAATTCGTCGGGTACATGTCTCGTTTTGCAAAGTTTACGTAACATTCATTTAATGGTATACCAGCCCTCCCAGCTCAACTGATAGATGCGGATTTGAGGTACGAAACTGTATATTAAGACAATCGTGGCTAAATAAATAAAAAATAAAAGTAAAATAGTTATCAAAAGTTTTACACAACACCTTTACGTGAACTATTAAGGACATACGCAAAGTAGTTTTGAACTTTATTTTCTTATTCTTAATTGTATAATTTAAGAGTTCCAATAATTGAAGGATCTTTGTGCGATTTTATGATGCCTGGTAATGCTGTGCACCTCCTCTGAATCATATTTTGAGGAAATACCAGCTAAAACTTTTTTGTTAATTTTTTCTTTAAAAAAAAACCCACTAGGATTTTCATCATTTGATATATGTTCAAAACTTCTGGTAGTATATGCTTATTTTTTGTCTAAGAACATCTGACAGTATTATGATTTTAGATCAAGAATATCGCGGAAAATTATCAGTGGGAAAGGTACAATATTATGTACATGTACGTTGCGTATGACCTTTAAATTGTCAACATGCCACTTTGTATAAATTGGCCCTGTAGTCTTTGTTTAACAGCAGCAATTGCTGTTTTGATTAAGATTTTAATGAAATGATAATCCACATATGGGTGAATTTAAAACAAAATGACCAAAGACTTATTTTTCAATCTGCACTAAAAGTACAGGCAATGGGAATAAATTTATATCTGCATGTCTTTAGATATTGTCTAAATGCCTGCCAAATATCTTGTTTATATCTCAATTCACAAGAAAGTTATGCCCAAAAATGATGCTAAAAATGTCAGGAGTGCAACACCTTTTTGTGACATTTTGAAAATTCAATATTTTTTGAAGATCTTTGGAAAAAATAATAATGTTTTATGTTTGAAATAAAGAGACTTTCCTGATAATATTCAAAGTATTGAGCTTTAAATGTAGACTGTAGCAACTTTTGTTTGACCAAGTTGTGGCCATAGCTGATGTTGAAAAAAAAGATGTTGTACCATGTCCGGAGTGCAACAGAAAAAATATAGTGTTGCCAAAACAACATCAATTTTAAAAATCTAAAAGAAAATTTAGTCAAGAAAGAATTTTCAAAGTTTAAAACAATATCTGATATACAATTTTAAACTTAAAAATGTTATATAAATCACAAGCAGTATATATGACTGAGAGTCAAGTATCTGTGCATACCCAATAATGTCAGGAGTGCAACATTTCATGTCTTGTTCCCCAGTGAAAAAAAACTTTTATCAGTATACGATTATCTAATTTTTATTTTGGAAAATTAAGACAAAAGGAACATTTTTACCAAATAGATTTATCAATTACAGGGTCTGTCTGCTGTTTCAGATCTATAGTTCTATGGTCAGGAGTGCAACACATTTTTTTAAAGTTTCAAGTTATATGATGAAAGACTTCTACTCATGCTAAGAAATATTCCTTGATTAATAATTATCTATTTGAATAATTTAGTACTAAAATATTGACAGTTTTATTATTAAAATCCTTCTCTTTTTCAATTTTATCAATTCAGATGTTTTTTTTTTGTTTTGTTTTGTTTTTTTAATCTTTTCTTTGATTTTTTTAAGAATGTGAAAAATAAAGACACTGAAAAATTGTTATAAAGTTCAAGTAATTCCACCTTAACTTCACTGAAACAACAGAACACGTTCTAATATAATTTTCGCTTCACAGTTCTACTTAATTAAAAGACTCATGCTCTTGGTCAGGAGTGCAACAAATATGTTAGAATTATTGCTTATCAAATACATGTATGACTAAATAATTTATAAAGAAAATATTGATGAGTAGAATGTTTCTAGTTGACCACAGTTGCTTACAGTGTTTGTCCTGTGAAGGAAAATATACTATTAAATATATTTTATCTGCTAAATATATATTTTACTAGTTTTTTGACATGAATAGGGAATAATTCAAGATATAAAGCCAAGTTTAACTACTTTCATGTGTTTTAATTATGACGTATTGAACTATAAATATTGCACAATTTCGTTACCACTTGGTGTTGCCAACACTTTATGAATTTTTGTGTTCTGTGGTTTTAATTTTACTGCAGTCAGGAGTGCAACAAAACTGCTTTATAATTATCAATGATCTTCATCTATCTTTACTAAAAAATAAATTGAAAATTATGTTTGATTCTATTTGATGTTCAAAACATTATGTCTATCAACTAATTACAGACATTTTACAGCCTATTCAGAGAAAAGTTTTCATCACTGAACACATATTTTTAAATATATATATATATATATATATATATATATATATATATATATATATATATATATATATATATATATATATATATATATATATATATATATATTACACATTGCAAATAATCATGTTTTGAAGTCTTGAAAATATGAAAAACTTGCCGTAAGTGATGAAAAAAATATCAGCGACGAACTGATTTAAAAAATAAGAATGGGTTATTGTGTGTTATAATTTGATGTTATATGGGTTATTGTGTGTTAAAATTTTAAAATAATGTTAGATAAAATACATATCAGATGTCAGGAGTGCAAAACAATAATGTAACATAGGGTCGCTTCAAAATATAGTATTTTTTGTCAGAAAACTTGTATGTCAAAATTTTCTTTTGGCTTAAATTTAAAGAACTGACTTAAATGGGCAAAAGAATGATTTGGGGGAATTTTGTTGTTTCATATTTCTTTCATATTAAAACTTTTTCAAACCAGAATTGAAAAAATAATGTAAAAAAAAAAAAAAAAAAAAAAAAAAAGCCATTTTTTTAAATCAAGGTTTAGATCTAATCATTGATATCCCTGATACCATTTTGAAGCATAAAAACTATAATTTCTTTTGATTATGTATTTTAGAAATTCTTTTGGGATATAGTGATTTTTTTTCAATTAAAGTTTTACTAAGAAAAATTCTGAAACTTTTTTTTTATCCAATTGTCTATTCTATTGCTACTTCAGGAATTTTAACTAGAATGCATGTACAATATGATGATATAAGTGAAAAATATGTTATGGGTAGTTGAATTTTTTCAAAAAATTTTAAATTTGGTGGTCATTTTTTTTTTTTTAATTCACCCATATGTCAAAAATGAATGCGATGTACACACTTGCAAGGCTCAAACACCCC